GATTCCCTTTTTTTATTGTTAAACAATTGACTGCAACTTTCTTGCATGTGAGATGTGACAACATCGACATCACAAAATGATTTTATTGAAAGAAAATAGACACTAGAAGCAGTTCTAGTTGCAAATAAGCTAGTGGACTCTAGGATGAGAAACACTGAAGCAAGACTTCTTTGCAAATTGGACCTGCAAAGGGGGTTCTTCGATATCTCAAAGGGTTTGAGAAAAGCTCAAAATGTTTGACAAGGGAATCAGATGAGGAAAGTGTACATGCTTCTTCGACAAGGGATCCTTATCACCTGTGATGTTCACACTAGTCATGGAAACACTCAGTGACATGATGGAGATGGATAAAGCAGCCAAGAGGGTTCATTTGACGGGTTTCATAGCTGTATGAGAAGGGAAGATAACATGAAGCTATCACATTTTTTTCGAATAATTCGCTAATATTATGTGATGTCGAGGAAGTCAAATCCATTATCCAAAGAGAATACTATTATGGTTGAAACAATTTCTGGACAAAACCTCCAAATTGAGTATTGGTAAGAGACAGGTACAATTCGAGCAAAATGAATATCAAAGATTCATACAGCCGACCCCACTAGCTTAGAATCAAGGCACAGGTATTGTTGTTGGGTCTGGGTGTATGTGTATGTCTTTATACACAAGAAATCACTCCAGTAGGTTCACTTTTAAAATAATAGTTTATTTTTTTGAAGAAATATGCAGAAGTAGAAGATTAAAGAGCTAAAAAGTTACTTGGATTGTTGTACAGGCAAAAAGGGAAAATGGGTGGCATGTTCATATTGAAATCATTCGTGGAGAAAAGGTACTTTCTTCACGCCTCGATACACGACCCTAGGGTACCTGGGAAAATGGTTTTTTTGTTTTGTTTAAGCAATAGCACGGGGAGCCGACCACAACTTGTTTGGGACTGAGGCATAGTAGTTGTTATTTTTAAACAATTGAAGGGGAGCAATCCTAAGTTCCTAACGGCAGAGAAATTAGGAAAAATGATAATCCACATTAGTTGGAAGTTGATATGCAATAAGGAGGATGCGGACGTCAATTGTGTGTTGCTTCACTACCCGATTGTATATTAATTGGGTTTTGCAAAGTGAAATTTGTCTGGTGTTGAATTGGTAAAGCCAAAACAATACAAAATAAGCAACTAGGATCGAAGTTCAGAAGAAAAGGTGGAGAAGGAGAGCATTGAAAATAGCTCCTTCAGATTGATGACTGGGAGCTCTTTTTAGACTATTATGTTTTGATAAGATTCTTTACTTTTTTTTTGGACGAAGTATTCTGTACTTTTTGTATACATCTGCAATGCAGGGATCTTCACCATCATATCAATAAATTGGAACTTTCACACCAAAGGAAAAACGTCTAGTAGTTAAAACTACCATACTGAGTGGTCATGCCACACTGTAGCTTCTGAGTTTCTAAAATCTATCAGAAATTGATTGTCAGATTCCAAACTGAAATCAAGTTAATTTGGCTATCAAAAGGTCAGCTACGTCCTGAAGGCCTTTAAAACTGTCAAATTCCTTCATTATTTTTCTAAATTCATTGTATTGAAAATTGATTGAGCAAGCATATAGGTGATCTGTTTTCTCAAGTACGATGTGTTTGATAGTGGACTTAATGAGATAGCGAGGTTAATTGGTCTAGACTTGAAGGTACATTTATTCAATGGTTATATTGTTGTATGAGCCAAAACTTATCCGTTATTAGGAAAATAGAAATAGTTAAAGCATATTAGCACACGCGTTTACTTTTCCTCTCTGTGGTATTAATTCCTTACACGTGCTTGATAGTGGACTTGATGAATGTGAAGTTAATTGGTCTACAGTTGAGGGTACACTTTTTCAATGGTTATATCTTTGTGCCAAATCAATTTGTTATTAGGCAAACTAGAAATCACTAAAGAATATTAGCACACCTATTACATCTTGTCCTCTCTCTAGTACAATTTCATTCCTTAAGCATGTTTTTAGGAAAAAGATTGAATCTTTTTTGACTGAAAATTTTTAGCTTACACCCAATTCATTCTTCTGTCTAAGCAATATCTTCCTGGGAATATTGCTCTTAGCTCAAATTGATTTTATACATTTACCTAAAACAGAGCTCCACTGCGAATGCACGCTCTCAGCTTAAGAGCTATAAGATAAATGCTTAATAAACTAAACAAAAGACAGAAAATAGACAAACATGGCATTTTTACCTTGCGCCGGGCGTGCAATGCTCTCCTTCTGTCTTTTGCTCTACATATAGCACGTTTAATACCATGATTATCCATAAAGCCATTTGGCCAAAATCCTGCAAGCTGCATGAAAAACAAAACATAACAATTAAAGTTAAAGAAACATCACGGGAAAAACTAGGAAGATTTTGGAAAACCCCATAATGCCAAAGTAGCTCCTAGTTCACATTTTCACGACCAAAATCATGAATATTACATCAGAGTTCCGCAGTGGAAAATGTCATTTAAAGGATCTAAGAAGAAGAACATCAATAAATGACCACCACAATAGAGAACAGACTCTTGCATCCACCAAAAACTGTCCCCCAGGTGGGAGGACTTGTGCTCTAGAGTGAAGAGTCTACCTTCAGATGCCTTTGAAAGTAGTTTGCATAAAGTACTAAAATTTCCTAGATACCCCAATTGCAAATGAAGTGAAGCACATGACACAGAATAAGTACCAAGCATAGAAAACCTAGTGTTCTTTCTTAAAGAAATAAGTAGTAAAATTCGCATGTCCCCTAACCTCTGCATACAACTTTCTGACTTGTGGACCAGCATCTTCATCCAGCCCCTACAAGTAAAGACCAAGTAAATCTCCAACATCCACTGTTCCAGTAAGAAGCAATCTTGTCGAGGACATTTTAGTTTTGAGGCGATGGGGGTGGGGTTTGGGATGGGGCAAAAGCACCTCAACAAAATGATCATAAAGGTCGCATATTTTGTCTTCTAGTGCAACATCCATGCTGTATTTTCTCTTAAAGGCTTCTTTCTCTTCAGCACTTGCTTCTTGGAAGTCATCAGAAGCTCCAGCTTGTTGCTCAAGTAACTGCAAGCACACGCGAGCATCAGTAAAAAGATATGTTGTAGATTTCTTTTTCATAAAACAATCTCCAACAACCTCGGGAAGGGGAGTTTGATTTAAGATTTACCATTGAAACATCCACTTTTACAAAAATGGAACTCTTTTTTCCCGACCACTAGGGAACAATGACAACTTTATAGAAAGACCTGAATCCCCCAAATGCTAGCAAAGACAGCATGCAGTCATGGCAAAAAATAAGCATATTATTACAAAGTCACACCTTTGATTTCATCAATGGAATCCGCAACTTAATCATCTCAGCGACCTCCCTCTTTATTTGATGAACCCGGTTATCTTTCTCCTGTTTTGCTGACAGACCCATATTGACCATGATTTTCAAATTCCTCTGCAGCCAGAACAAATATCGGATCAATCATAATTTCTAAGACAATGACGGGAAAAAGAGCACCAACAACTTGAAGCAATAGTAACAGTCAATTGGGAGAAATATTAAACCATAATATATATGAACATAGACAAAAACCATCATAAATTTCTCTAAAATGGCACAAGCTCGTGAAAGATGGTAAAACATGATTACACATTGAAGCTTACAAGAAACTGCAACATGTAAAAGAGGATGCATGCATTAGACATAACTTGGAAGAAGTTTACAGTATTCTGCCATGAAACTAGAGTTGCCCAGCATTTCTCTTCCAATTTCATCTTTTAAATATTCTTGAAACAAATAATTCTCCTTCAGATTTCACAACTATAATGCTGAATACTCGTTAGGAATTTACCTAAGCATTCCTTTCCTCATCAGATGTAACAAATTCAAATTGCAACAGTTTGTCATCTGACGCAAGATATTGAGAGGAAAAAAACACAACCGTTTCAGGAAAATCTGTTAATTAAATATACATCCATCTTCGCACTCACATTTCATTCTACCAAGTTCAACACTCTAATGCCTCATTTGCTCGCACATAAAGGTACTACTTACAGGCACATTTAGACCTCTAATATTTGCTAATCAACAAGAGATTTTTAACCATGTTAGTATTTCTGAAAAATGGTAATTAGTATTTCTCATTTTTTAAATGAGAAACTCTTCTAATTTATTAAAATTCAAACGACTTTATTTGATAGTTTTCCTAAAAACTTGATATCGTGAATTTTAAGAGAAAACATCATGTCAACAAAGGTTCTTCTCTACATCAACTAATTAGGTATTCTCGTTTCCTTGATGAAAGTATATATTAGTTGTTTATTAAGGCAAAAAGGAATATCCTACTGCAAAGATATTAAGGAACTTTCTCATTTAAACCCAAGTGTCTCCACTTATTTTGTCACAATTTGATGACCGATGATTGCTAAGCAGTTACAACATCATTACCAATTTAAAAATTCACCTCCACTCAAGAATTAAAATACCAAGTCAAATAAAACTTCATCTAATTTCATATGCCGGTTGAATGGACATAGAGTAAGAATTTTTTTTCGGATAAGGTATATATCTTATTAATAATAAAAAAATCTCATGTGTACAAGTAGTATACCAAAAAGTAGGAATGTACAACATAATATAATTATCTATGAACAACATCCAACCTTCCTCGCACACTTGTACTAAATCTCATGTGTACAAGTAGTATACCAAAAAGTAGGAATGTACAACATAATATAATTATCTATGAACAACATCCAACCTTCCTCGCACACTTGAACCTCAACAGTACACCAAAAAGAAACTAGGAATATGAGTAAGATATTAATAATTTGACTTACATATTATCCCGTAATACTGAAAAATGTCTAAAATAATGATTGCAAGTAAGTTTGAAGGAAAAAACATCAGATCGTAACTTAAAATTTAAGTAGCTAATGAAATAGAAGTCTCAAAAAATTTGTAAAGTTATGTTCTTCAACTGGATTGAACTTTATGAAGCTTGCCTCAGCAATAACAATATAAAGGAAAGAGGTTTCACACTCTGCAGTAGATGTTTTACATACAAGATAGAAGCAGAGACATCAATGTTCCACTCTTTATGCTACTCAATGGGTGACCCCATATGCAGTAAAGACAGCTTTTATTAGTTGGGCTTGGGGTTCAAGGAAGGTGAAGACAGAAATATATGGCAATAGATCCCACCTTGCATTTTTCTGGACAAATTATTTTAAGAAGGTGGTGTTCGGGCCAGCTTGCACACACCTGACTATTCCACCAGGGTACTTGCTATCTCCCACCAGCACAGGTAACAAGTAACTCTGCCCACCAAGGTTTGGACAGATGGGAAGAAATCACCTAGTGACTTTTTGCCTCCGATGGGATTTGAACCTGAAACCTCATGGTATTCCTACAATTTCATTGACCACTAGGTCATATCTTTGGATTGTGTTTTTTGGACAATATGGAGAGAGAAATTCTAGATGCCTTGATGGGAAGGAGTTGTGCATATCACAGTTGAAATGTAGATGTTTTGAAAATCCTTCTTGGTGGAATGAATGGAGAAATGTAAATGATGCTTTTTTAATCAAGTAAAATTTTATTAACAAATGGCACAAAAGACATGTATACAAGAAGTATACAAAAAAGTTAAAACCCTTTTCTACAAATGACACACAATCTTCTATACCTAGGTAACCTCCCGACTGCACCAAAAAGAAATAAGGGATGAGAGGCTATTCCTAAAATAAACAAAATTCTTCTTTATTCCACCGAAAACTCTCCTAGTTCTCTCCCTTTAAATAGTTCACATAAGTGCTAATGGAACGACGTCCTACGCCATGTGCTTTCTCTTACGACTGCCAAAAGCCCATCTGAAGAATACATCTTTGATCGTGCATGGCATCACCCATTCAAGACCAAACCAACACAGTAATTCCCACCATAAGTGCGAGGCAATTCAACAATGTAACAGGAGGTAACCCACGTTTTCTCCTGAATTTTTGTACATGAAGCACCAACTTACGCAGGTAATCCTCTTCTTCTTCCCGGGACCCTAGGGATCCATACCGAGAGATGTGGATAAGTGGACTCCTCCATACCCAAAAGATGCACATAAAGGACTTAATAGAAAAAACTCCAGTTTTCTCTGCCCTCCATCTCAAAACATCATGACTATTGTGCAGTAATATGTTTGTGAAGCAAAACAATCAAATTTATATATTCTGGGACCTCCCAGTCTTGTAAGTTTCTCCTAAACCTCAACTACTAATGAACTTCACCACCTTGTAACCTACGAACCTGTTGGACTAACAACTCCTTTTGGCATGAAATTCTGTACAATTATGGAGAAGTGCTACTCAAGGTGTTGTTTCCACACCTCCTAACCGGATGATAGACTTTGCTGGTTCTTTAAATGATGGTTGAGGGCCTCATACAATTCTAATTGAATATTCTCGCATCCTCTGGATGGACTAATAAACATCTTTCTTGATCAAAATTAAATTGCAAAACTTGTAGGGAATAATATTATTAGTGGAGTGTCAAATATTTCAAAATGTCCTAAAATGAAAGAATATCATATAAAGTGGGACTGAAGGAAGAATTTACTTCTTTTTTTTGTAAAGTAGTTTCATTGATGGAATCAAGAAGGTACGGTGGATAAAAATACATTCTTCATTTATCTTGACGTGTCCATGGTAAATGGCTGTAACATGAGTATGGGTACTTCATGCAGATTTCTCAAAATAAACTGAAAATTGACTATAAATGCATATCCAGCATTGAATATAAAAATGCATATCCTTACTGTATACTTACACACACCAGCATTGAATATAAACAAGCCCATAAAAACATATCCAGAAATTGTAACACACTCATTAAGATTTGCAACGAGTCAAATGGAAATTGTTCGAATTCAAAGTAAATAATGTTTTAAGTGTTGCTTTCAGTGTTGGAAAGAGAGAACATAGGATAACAGCTGGAAAGTGACGGATAGTGAAAAGACCAACTAGCCACATAATTGTTAAAAGTTAGTAGTAGGAACTCGAGCAATTTAGCTTTCCACTTTTTTAACCAAGTTAGTCATGTGAGGGGTAAGGGCCTTATCAGTAGTAAACAATAGCGCTATAAGAGATCAGGCTGGTCTTGAGCTCTCAAATTGAAGCAGATCAGCACTAGATCACATTTGACAATGGATCTAATTCTATGTCTCTTCCAGCTTCACAACTATGATGGATTCTAAGATTATGCATTACAAGATTTTGGATGTATTATTGCCTTCCAATGAAGATATGAAACCAAGATAGAGAAAGAAACCATCACTACGATCGACTGCTATAACAACCTCGCAGATCTCCATAACATAATTGAGATATGGCATAATTTTTTGAATAGATAGAGTCAGAATAAATCGAAATAGATATGCTTGTACTCAATGCAATGTAAGCGTGAAAATGAACTCTACGTAGAACATTCAAATGTTAAACAAAAATACCTTCAATGTGCGAAGTTGTATCAAGTGGCCAACAATACTCATTAAACGATTAATTAAGTCCTGGGATATTTTTCCATGACTAGCTTGCTGCAACCATCAAAGGAAATATTTGGATTTAATAAGTATGTGATGGACTATAACATCAATACGTCAATCAGTAAGGATAAAATGAATTAGTAGCTTAGTCTATACCGCCAATCTGGCAACTTTAGCCAGCTTCTGCTTTACTTCAGGTGGTAACCTCCTTTTGATAGCCTGGGATGAATTATCAGCATCCTGAACCTCCATATTTGGTGGCCTCGCTGTGATATTTTCATAAATTGAAATAGATGACCAATCTATAAGAAAATAAATTATCACTGATTAAAAAAACATATATCAGAGGTTTTGGGCGTACATTCTGCAACAATTTTCTCCAAATCCCTGATGGCCTTCTCAAGCATTGTACCTTTTGGTCTACCAGTAGATCCTTCCTTTCGCTGCATGGCAGGACCTTTCTGCATAGTTTTAGGCAGCAGCTGAGCGTCAGTTACAGCAAGAATAAAAGTGGGAATCTCAGATATGACCTTTTAAGCCTGCACCATATAAGATTCAGAGACACGCATAGAGAAACACAGACATAGATAGAGAGAGAAAAATATCAATAACATTATAAAATAAGAAATGAATCTCACACTTGAGATGATTAAAAAAGGATACAGAATCTTTTTTTTTATTGATCAAAAGGATACAGAATATCTAAAAACACAACGAGCATGTCTATTACCAATTCTTATATGAAGTGGAAGCAAATTGGCTCAAGTATTTAGATTCTTTTTTCATTAGAGTCAAAGCAACAATTTCAAGCTGCTAAAGAATAGCCAGTAGGTACTTTTAAAGATTACTCATTAAAAGAAACATTGCACTCTCTAAATTGATACCTTCATTAAAGCTACTTCTACAGATCTCGGGTAGCCACAAGGCAAACCAACTGAGTAGAGAGGAAACAATGACTTGTTAGACCTATAAAATGTATTCTTGATTGTGATGTATACTTATATCTTTAATTTTAACTACTAAAATTTTATGGTAGTCGCAAGGCCAACTGAGTAGAGGGGGAAAAAAGGACTTTAGAAGGTTTTCATATTTATTTATTTTTTGATAATGGAGAAATCTCTGAGGGCCAATGGCACACGGTTCGAAACTCGGTGGATAACCGGGGCGCTCCTCTACGCTTCTCCATTTAAATACCAGGCTTTTGTTTAAAGTATGGTTCAAACCCATGATGTGCGACTAATCCACATATTGCACGTTGCTCTTACTACTAGACCAAAGCCCTGGGGGCTGGCTCTTCTTGATTATTACATATACTTCTTGATACCAAGAAATTCTCGTGGGCCAGCGGTGCCGATTATTATGTAATATTTATTGTTGAATTACATGACCATCTATTCTAAAACCTAATATGTTAGAGATCAAACTTTTAATTACATAATTATGTCTTCATCATATGCCCCTGACATGCAGGCCCGACTATTCTTTTAGCCAAGCCGAGGAAATTCTTTCTAATAATAGCGGTAACCAGGATCCCCAAACCATGTTAAATTGTGTGTCCATCTCATCCAAGAGCTTAAGTTGTTAGAGCACATAAAGTCCATTTACTCTATGTTATAAAGCCAGAGCCATCCCTGATAGTGGTCTACCCAAATGGTTCTTTTTTTATTAGGTGGTCTTCCCAATGTTAAGCCCCTATGTTATATTATCCATACTCCAAACGTCTAATCCTAAGTGTGCGAGGATGTTATAATCTCACATTTATTAAGGGTATGAACTGTAGTTTGTTTGTGTGCTCATGGATAATCCTCACCTCTTGAAGAAAGAAGTAGGAGAGTTTTTGAGGGTGTAGAGATGAAATTTGTAAAGATACATAGTAGTCTCTTATCCCTTATTTCCTTTTGGTGCACCCACGAGTTTCCTTGTTACATAGATAATGATTGGGTGCTTTTGTAGAAAACCATCTCCTTTTGTGGATTTTCGTACTTGTTGTATAACAGCTTTGCCCATTTATTAAATAAAAATTGATTTACCTTATCAAACAAAGTATTCACCTCTTGAACTACCTTTTGATGATGAGTTAGGCCCAAGGTCCTTTTTATTAAGACTTATTTAGTTTTCTCCAATGTATAAAAGTGTAATGGTGAAGGCATATTTAGCATCTTTCCAGAGGCAACCGCTTTGACTTTGGAAAGACCGTCAAGCTCCGGTTAAGGATGAAAAACTTTTGCTAATGCCATAGAAGACCCTAAGATTCCATGGAAGCATAATTTTTCTAACATCTTTTGACATTATTTGGCTCATAACGGTGCAGCTTTACTTGTAAACATTTCAAAGGCTTCATCTGGTCATGAACAAGTGCTATCCACCTATCCCTACCTAGAATGATGACCTAGAAAAAGAGATTCTTTCTGTAATGTTCTCAAGCAATCATTACCATTGCATGTTGATAGAAATCGATAAATAAATACCATGGCATAATGATTCACGTTATCAAACATTTGGCAGATAGCAAAGAAACTCACTAGTGTAGGGAGTAAACAGCTCACCATAGTCTGAACTGAGTTCTTGCCCTCACCACTGACGTTAAACTTTTCATCACGTCGCTGAACAGATTGGTCTACTCCGTCAGAAACGTTAACCGGTCTTCCCACAACAGATCTCTCTTGAGCATAAGAACTTTTGTCATGCCTCTGAGTAGAATTCCCAGATATTTCAGAACCATCTAGATTCTTGGATTGGATAACTCCAATTTTCTGCTGGTCAAAGTCTTTTTCTTGTGCAGAATCACCACGCAATGATACTGATGGAGATTGCTCCAGCATACTTTGGGTATCGGCAGCTTTCTTTGTTATCGGTCTTTCAGAAGCATTCAACTGATTCAGGAATTTTTCTCCTTCATGGGATACATTTTGCAAAGCGACACCATGAGATGGGTGAGAAGATCCGCTAACAACTGGTACTGGTTTCCCAGCCTTCTTTCCTACTTTTACAGGTTTACTTGGACTATGTCCATCGTCGTCCCCAACATGGCTTTTTGCCAGATCTTTTCTTCTCCGCTTTTTTGGTTGCTGGTTCTTTGGTGACGCTAGTTCACTAAGAGAAAATCATGTCAGTTAGAAGCTCCAAAATGAAATGACAAAACAAATGAAAAGAAGAATCCATTATAGGCATTTGGACATGGATTGGTTGATATTTGGAAAACGTAGTATTTGACGTTAAGTTGAAAAGGATATTAAAGTTGAAGTTGTGTTTGGACATGAAAACACAGTTGAACGTGTTTTTCAAACTTCAAATTCCATATTTCAAATTTGAAATTGAAATAATGGGCCAGTTTGATAAACAAACACTTATTAATGAGGGAGAGAATAAGGGCATATGAATCGATACAAAGAACTAAACCAAAGTCCCATAAGAAACAAAGATCTGAATTCCTGAATCATAGGAGAAAACATAACTTAGTGGACAAGGGGAAACAAAAAAAGAGGAAAGAATTTCATAGGCAAAGAGATGTAGCATAAACCATAGGAAACCAACAGTTTGGTCAATACTTGGTTTAAACAAAAGTAAAAATTCAAAATTGCAAGTAGCTCAGTAGGTTCCCTCAACGAATGATATTAACAGCCAATTTACACTTACAGAAACCAAGATATCCCAAAATTGATACTTATAAAATGATAAGTTATTTAACAAAAATAAAGAAAGTAAAGAAAGAAAGACATTTTCATTTGGAACTAACAAAGAAAATTTAACTCTCTAGGTAAGCCTCGCATCGCTTACAATGCTAATCGAATATGTACTCTTTGGTGGAATATTTTTATTCTAAACTGCTTCATTTGTGTCACTTTAGCACACATGCTTTGTTTTTTGAAATAGTTGAAATTCTTTCAGTTTTTTTTGTACCTCGTATTTTCAGATTTGAAAACCAGGTTTTTGTAGCAAATCTTTTTGCTGTATTATTTGGCAGGGTGGAGAAGGAGTAGCAGCTCTATTCGGATGCTGCTTCTCAAGAAAAATGGGTGAAGAAGAAAATGATTGAACTGTTATAAGCTTCACCACTTATAACCAACAATTAAGCCACAAGAAAGTGCAAGAATGCAATGCCAAAAAAAGTCAAAGAAGAAAACTCACACGCGCTCCAACTTTCCGCGATTGACAAAGAACCCGTCATGCTTTATTGCTGAGTTATCAACCTGAAAATACTCATCCTGCATAACAAGAAACGAGGTATTTTGACTACAACATATAAAGTCATCTGCACAAAGTTCCATAAAAGAGCTTATAAAAATCATTAGGATATAACACAACAATAGATATTCGTATAAGGTAGATAAAGTTAAAGAATATGATGTGACCAACCAGCTCAGTATCATCTATGAAAGAATCTTCAGTGTCATATTCATCATCATCTGGGAAATCATTAAGATCTTCCTCGTCATCACTTTGTTTTCCCTAAAAGACATAATAAGTAATTAGCAGATCAAGTGCAAAATAATAAGACTAAGCAAAAAGAGATCATGCAGATGCAGTCTTTCAACACACACACACACGTACATATAGGCGTATAACAAAGAGTAAACAACAAAATGCATACCACATATAGGCGTTCAATCTTTTCGATCACAGCATTTAAACGATTTCCAGGAGGAGCATCCTTGACTTCCTTATCAGCAGGTTGTCCCTATAAAGGGCATTGATTATAAGCGTAGAATTTATCAAAGAACCTTCCTGCATGAGCAAACTAGTGCTCGAAAGAATCTCAGATAATAATTCATAACAAGCAAGCATGGCAGCATAGGCATGACCGCTTGAGCATCATTCTTGGGTAGCAAAGCGGTATCAATAGAGTTCCAACATCAACTATGACAAAAGCCATCCTTGCAAGTTTCACTATTTCCAATTTTAGATTGTTCTTCTATAGTCAAAATATTTGAAATACTTATCTTTATGAAAAATGATTTTTTTATAAGGAAACAATTGAAAGATTATCAAAAAATGATATTAGAAAGAATAACCCTAACCACAAAGATCACTACCGGCCCATATACTACAGCACATGGTTCACAGGAAAACAATAGAAAGTCCCTCATAACTATTATAATTTGTTTCATCGTTGCAGAATTTTTTTTTGAAATACTTATTCCTAAGAGTAAACGATCACTAACTGCCATATATACTCGAATAGTGCACAGTTCACAGAAAGACAATGGAAAGACACATAAAAAGACATCACATTCAGAATAGTAAGGTAATGCAAAAAAGAAGCGGCAAACTTTTCTCTCTTGGGCATAACTAACAAGGATGTATTACAATGATACTATACACGAGGTTATGCATGACTTAGCCAAATATCAATAATAATTGCGAAAAAGTGTTGTCAAAGACGAAAAGTGTAGAATAGCGTCAAGATTTGTGGGATCATAGGCACAAGAAGACAAACAAAGCGCGTAAATACAAACAATATACATGTAAATACAAGAAAAATAACTATAAAGACAAACAATATAGACAAAGGAGTTGAAAAATTGCAATTCAATGAAACAAAGAAGTAAAAAGTAAAAACTATGTTAATCAAGTTCAAGAGCCGGTATGCTATTTTACCTTTCTATGCCATACTTGGCAACTATTTTTCTTATACTAAAACTATAATTCTCTACTCCTAATTACTAATATATTCATGTGTGTGTGTGTATGTTTAACAATGGTTCTGAATCGGCTTGCGCGCACCTTAACTAATCCACCGAGCACTTGTTACCTGCTACTAGCACAAGTACCAAGTACTTAGTAATTTTGTTCACCAAGGTTTAGACATATGGGGGAAATCGCCTAAATTTTTTGCCACCGTGATATTTGAACCATAGTATCCCCAGTCCATTTGAATGACAATTTATATATGTTTTTTGCCAGATATATTCAACACTTCGTGACAGCCAAGAAAAAATGAGACGAACCCCCCGGGCAAATGGGCGAGTCGAACCGGATATTGGCGGGTTGAATATGGTTAGGCAAAAATGGATAAATTATCTGACCTATTCATATTTAATACGGATAAAATTAGTTGAATGATGTATAACAAGTGTACCTATATTATACATGGCTTTTTTCCTATGTTGCGCGGACTCTCCAAAACACATGTCGTACCCGTGTCGGATCCTTCAAAATTGCATTATTTTTGGAGGATCCGGCACGTACCCATCGACATTTTCGGAGAGTCCAAGCAACATAACTTTTTTTCTTTTTCTTGATTGAATGTGATGGATGCTGAAATTGATGTGTAGGCATACCAAGACCAAGAGCGATAAGATTATGAATGAAGTTGTTTGGGACAAAGTGAGAGCGGCCCCGTAGAGGACAAGATGTGGGAGTCGCGGCTGAGATAGTTCGGGCACGTGAAGAGGAGAAGTACAGATGCTCATGTTGGGAGGTGTGAGAGGTTGGCCATGGCGGGTTTGAGGATAGGTAGAGGTAGGCCTAAGAAGCAATGGGGAGAGGTGATTAGGCAGGACATGACCCTTGATTGGAGAATTAGGACAAAAGGTTAGTAGGTAGTCGAGAGTTTCCCCTTTACTTACCGATAGAATTAGTAGCACTCTTGTATTTTCCTATTCTTTTAGATATCTTTTACTTCATGTTGTTTCGTTTGATTCAGTTATCTTATTTTCCTATTGTTTTTTTTTAATAAAGTAAGGGGTTCATTAATAAGGCATCAAGAAAGATGCAAAGTTACAAGGAGCATAATTACAAGAGACAAAAGACAAAAGAGTGTAGGTAGCTCCTATACAAAAAGTCAATCTAAGAATAGAGTACTAACAAAATCCAAAAACTGTCTAGTGCTAAACGGGGGGCAACTTGGTCCAACTGAAAAGAGGAAGTAAGCATTTAGCTTTAAGAGAATGATTTGGAGTTGAGATGCCATTAAAACATCTTTTATTTCTCTCAGTCCATAAACACCAACAAATAGCTGCATGGATCATCAACCAGACTTTTTTGATGGCTTCATCAACTACTGTGTGCCTATCTCAAACTTTGTGGCATGACCCAACTCAAGCCAAAAATACTGTAGATCGTGTTCCAAATGTGAGTGGCTACAGGAGAGTGTAAGAGTAAATGGTTGACAGTTTCCTGATTACTCCTACATAGGTAACATCTGTTGACCAGCTGAAATCCTCTTCTATTAAGGTTATCTTGTGTTAGACAAGCTTCACGTATGGCAATCCAATTAAAGCAGATAACTTTAATAGGTAACTTTGTCCTCCATATCAATATCCAGGGCCATGCATCAAACATTTAATTTTGAGTGCACATCTACTTGTAGCATTCTTTGACCGTAAAAATGCTCTTGCTACCCCAGCACATGGTGTATGAAACATCTTCATCAATGTTGTAGCTCTCCACTTTTGCTAGCAATTCCATCAAACTCTCCATTTCCCATTCTTGAACAGACCTTCTAAGGTGTGCATATCCCAATTGTTGTTGCTTCTATTCTAAGCTATTGAAGAGTTCTTGTCCAAGGCAATGTGGAAAATGTTAGGATAGTCATCTATGAGTGCAGAATTATTGAGCCATTTGTCTTTCCAAAACCTAACCATTCCCTGGTTTGAAATGAGTATTTTGGAAGAATTCTCCCAGCTTGCTGATGTACTTCCAAGGGCCAACTCCATACGGAGAGTTGGCAACTTTATTGCTCCAGTTGTCCCTTTTCCCATGTTTAGCATGGATCACTTCCTTCCAGAGACTTGATTCACGTGTACCATACCTCCGTAGCCATTTCATTAGACACTTGTTGTGGATGGCTAAATCTTTGACCCCCAAACCTCCCTTACATTTTAGCAGTGTGACTTTATCCCATTTAATCAAATGGAATTTATGAGAACTGATGCTACCTTCCCAGAGAAAATCCCTCCTGATTTTATCCAATTGCTCTTAATAGATTGGTATATTGTCAAGCACACTACTTATGAGAGTTATAATAGATTGGTATACCGTCAAGCACACTACTTATGAGAGTTAGTCTCCCCCCATAGATAAATACTGCATTTGCCAGGAAGCCAATCTCTTTTCAAATTTTTCAACCACACCATTCCAAATATCACAGTTTTTGAACTTGGCTCCTAATAGGAGGTCTAAATAGGTGGTAGGTAATGTTCCTATGCTGCAACCCATGATTCCTGTCAGCACCTCTACATTGAGCACATTGTTGACCGGATAGATGCCACGTTTCCTCATGTTAATGTGTAATCCTGATAGAGCTTCAAAGAGTAGTAACGTGAAATTCAAGTAAAGGATTTGTGTCTTATCTGCATCACAAAATATCAAAGTGTCATCAACATACAAAAGGTGGGAAATAGAGATTGTATTCCCACTATTTATACCAACTCTGAAATCTTGTATCCACTCCATTTGCCTAGCCTTTTCAAGCATCTTACTAAGATCTTCCATTGCTAATATGAACAGAAAGGGAGAGAGTGGATCAGAAAATTTTTTAGGAGAGAAGAAACCCACAAGTATTCTGTTGATCAAAACTGAGTATTTGATAGTGATGCTATACTTGATCCACTTAATCCATTTGTTGCCAAAATCCATCTACTTCGGAATAGCTATTAGGTAGGACCAATTCAATTGATCAAAGGCTTTCTCAATATCCAGTTTGCACATAACCCCTGGTTCAACAATTTTGATCCTCCAGTCTAATACCTCAAGCTATAAGCGTTGCATCGGTAATCTTTGTTTGATGAAGGCATTTTGATGGCAAGAAACCAGTTTGCAATCACTAACTTCAATCTCTTAGCCAACAACTTAGACACAATTTTGTAAACACTGCAAATAAGGTTTATCGGCCTATAGTCCCTGACAGTGTTTTGGATAGCGTGCGGCAACAAATAGCGACGAGGGCCTGCTTCACTGAGGCGAGAGGCGCGCAGCGAAGCGCTCGCCTTTTTGATGTGAAGCGACAATTTATACAAAAACATAAAATATTATATACATATAACTAAAAACTCAATAACAATAATATATTAATAAATATATCATTCAAAAATTAAAGACTCAATAGATAGTCATAGACTCATAGTAGATTCATAAACTAAAGTCTAATAGTCTAAAACAAGCAACGTCTATTCTTCTTCAAGATTTTCAAATTCTACAACTTCATGAATGTTAGCATTATATTGGCTATCATCTTCTTCATCCTCGGAGTTTTCATCAATTAGGGACCGGCTTGAACTTGCTACTCCCTTTCCCTTGTAACTTGAAGAACTCCCTCTAAGACCATAGATATTCTCCTCAACTCCAACCGCCATAGAAACAGTACCCCAATCAAGATCATCTCCTTCATACACTTGTTCATCTTCATGATTTTGGGGGGCTCCAGTTAACCATTCATTTGCCTCGTCAATGTTGTCCAACAAAATTGGATCAATGGTATCGCGAGCTTCATAACGTCGCCTCAATGTTCTATTGTATTTAATATACACTAGATCATTGAGACGCGATAGCTCAAGCCTATTCCTTTTCTTGGAGTGAATCTGCGCATAAGTTGTTTAGATTAATTAATCGATACTAATAATAATACAATATAAAATATATTAATATAATAAATCTACTTCTTACATGCTCAAATACGCTCCAATTTCTCTCGCATCCAGATGCACTACAAGTTAGGCTTAGTACTTTGATGGCAAACTTTTGCAAGTTTGGAGTTTGATGTCCAAATTGCTTCCACCATTCAACTATAGAAAAATATTTTAAAAGTTAATAAGTATAAATCAAATAAATTAATTTAAAGTTATAAGGATATCTATATTAAAGTTAGTTACCTGGCGACCTTATGTCTCTGGCTCTAATGGCCGCTTGTAAACCAAATAGGCCCTCTGCTTGTGAGTACCTACCAAACTCCTCCCCTATTTGATCTATCGTCGCTGAATTAGGGACCAACTTCTCAAGACATGCATGGTATCCAATCCACACCTCTGAAGCCAAAGTTTCATCTCTAGTGTTCTTGTAAAATAATCCCGGGTTCAGAAGATGGCCTGCTGCATGCAAAGGTCGATGGAGTTGATTCTCCCACCTGATATCAATTATCTCAAAAACTTTCTCATATTTTCTAACATCTCCCTCAAATGACGCTGCAATAGTCTCTTTGGCTCTATCCATAGCCTCATAAAGATAGCCCATTGGTGGTTTTCTCTCCCCATCCACCATACGAAGTACCTTAATCAAAGGACCACCAACTTTAAGAGCCCGAACGACGTCATTCCAGAATGATGGAGAAATAAGAACTTTGGCAGTTTCTTTTCCCGCAACTTCCTTTGCATATCTATTATCTTTCCATTCATTTGAAAGAACTAGCTTTCTCAATTTTTTCTTTTGCAAGTAAAAACTATGCAAAGTTAAGAAAGCCGTTGCAAATCTAGTCTTGGCCGGTCTCACCAAATTTCTTTCATTTGTGAATTTCCTCATCAAATTCAACAACAACGGCCTCTGACTGATGTAAGAATATACCCTGACGGCCTTAGTGAAAACTGTAAAAGTAACAATAACAATTTTATAGTTAATACTTAATAGGATAGGACATAAGTATAAATAACTATATTAAAGTTACCTGAAGCATATGGGTTTTCCTTGAATATGTCACCAAACATCAAGTTGATACAATGGGCAGCACATGGAGTCCAATAAATGTGTGGATACATAGCTTCCATCATCCTACCCGCACTAACATTCTCACTAGCATTATCTGTAACAATTTGTACAACATTTTCCTTTCCAATTTTATCAATAGTCTTTCTAAACAAGCTGTACATTTTGCTTCCATCCGTAGAAGAGTTGCTAGCATCGTGAGATTCAAGAAAAACACTCCCTCTTGGAGAGTTCACCAACACATTTATGATCATTTTTCCATTCCGTGCTGTCCATTTATCCATCATAATGGAACATCCAAACTTGTTCCATTCCACTTTATGCTCCTCAATAATTTGGTCTATCTTCTTCACCTCTTTTTTAAGATGAGTTACTCTAACTTCATGATAGCTAGGAGGCTTCATTCCTGGGCCATATTGTCCTACAGCTTCAATGAATTTATCAAAAGTTTTGTAGTTAACACAGTTGAAAGGAAGCCCTGCATCATACATCCATGCTGCAAAGGCACTTACGGCGCGGTCTCTCAAAATCTTCTTGGCTTCTAAACCTAGACCTTCTTCACCTTTTCCCTTTTCTTGTTGTTTTGCCGAGAAATAAAGATTGAGAGGACCTTTTGTCACTGTACGTGCCGTCGTGGATGACCCACTAGAACTATTTGAAGATATCTTATGAGTTTTTTGGGGGGGGAGGTCTCATTTCACCATCTTCATCCATTTCATCATCTTCATCAATTAGATTCACCGATGCTTCAAAATTCATTTGAGTTCTTGTCACATTTTTCTTATCAACAAACGCTTTTACTTCCTCCCTAACCTCGGGCGGACAAAGGGGACATTGTACTACATTTTTAAATCCACCTATCAAATGTTGCTTGTGACGAGTTATCCCACCATTATATGTTTTTTCACAAAATACACATTTAATTGCGGATCTTGATGAGCCTTGTATAGCATAATTCCAAGCTATATCATTTCGTTTATTACTATCGGATGACATTTCAACGCTGTTTTATTGAAAAAAAAATTATCAAGTCAATATGCAATTAATTCTACTCTATAAGAGACTATAAGTCAATAATTGGAAAAAAAAAAAAAGGGGCCTGAAAGAAACAGAAAGTTTGTTAAGAGAAGAAGCAACCTCTGTTATTTTGCAAAAACAGGGCTTCGAAACAACCTCTGTAATTTTGCAAAAACAGAGCTTCAAAACCTCTGTTATTTTGCCAAAACAGAACCAAAAAAAATAGAGCACAAAAACAGACCTCTCTTTCTGTTAAGAGAAGAAGAAACCTCTGTATTTTGCTCGAAAAATAGAGCAGGAAACAGACCTCTGTTTCTGTTCTTTTCGACAAAAAACAGAGGAAAAAAAATAGAAAGAAGAAGAGAAGAAGAAGGAGAAAGGAGAAAGAAGAAAGAAGAAAGGAGAAGAAGCATACCTGGACTTTCAATGGCTGGAACCTCAAGCTTCTGAAAGAAGAAGACGATGGCTCGCGAGTTCAGAACGTCAAAGTCTCAAAGAAGCTCTGTTGTTTTGTTCAAGTTGAAGAAGATATGTTGTCAAGCCCTAATCACGACCCTTTTTGTTGAGTCTTTGCTTTTTCTCTTCTTTTTTTAAAAAAAAAAACAAAAGGCGACGCTATGGTCGCTTCTCGCGACACTGTCGCCTCTCGCCACGCAGGCAGAGGCGAGCGCTATTTCGAAACGCAACGCAACAGAGGCTCTGTGGCGACACTGTCTCGCCTCGCCTCGCCTCACGCTATTAGCGCTGAGGCGAGCGCTATTTATAACACTGGTCCTTGAGTTCAATGGCTCCTTTCTTTTTAGGTATCAAAGCAAGCAATGAAGGTAGCACTACATGACCTTATCATGTAGCATTGCTGGTGAAAATGATTGAGAGCACTCATGATTTATGGTTTGATGAACTCCCATATTTTTGAAAAAAGGCCATGGTGAAGCCATCTGGCCCTAGGGCTTTATCTAGGGCGCAAACTTGTATGACAGCATGCACTTCTTCCTCTTCAAAAGCTTTTTCAAGCATCTATCTATCTTCCTCTGTGAGACTGGCTACTTCCTCAAAGCTGGTAGTGGGCCTCCACCCTTCATGTTCGGTGTAGAGATTCTGATAATAACTCAAGATCTCCTCATTCATCAAATGTCTTTCCTTTATAATTTGACTGTCTATTTTGAGCTTATCTATTGTGTTGAATTCCTGTAGGACTTTGTTATTGTTTAGAAGTACCTTGGATTCCTATCACCTTCTTTTAATACATCTTGATTTTTGTCTCCGTGACATTTCTTTGGCCTTAGCAATCTACATCAGCTCCATTTTCAGATTCGGAAAACTTATTTCTCAGGTTAAGCTGGAACTCTGTTCTCTGTTGCTTGTTCTAGAATTGCTAATTCATCAAAAATCTTGCTTTTTCTTGTCTCCAACTTTCCATAGACTTCTTTGTTCCATTTGGTGATGTCTTTTTGGAGATTCCTCAATTTCCGAATGAGTATAAAGTCTGAATTGCCATTAATCATATAGCCCTGCCACCGTCCCGTCACCAAATCTAGGAACCCTCCAGCCCTTTTACAAATAACATCTCATGGATTTATTGGTGCTGCATTTTTTTTCTTGGTGGGATGTTGAAGCCACATTCTCAAATTTGAAGTATGATGGAGTTGGATTTTCGATTCTTTTTTTTTTATTTGGTTCGATCCCATTCCAAGCGTTTGATATTCTTTTTGGCCTTATAGTAATTTTTTCTCTTTCTAAGTAAGATGGGCAAAGAAAGAAAGACTTTGAATTTGAATTTTACATCTAAGTAGTGACGAGATGCATAAGTCATTGATTGAGGGTCGAACTCAACCTGAAAATCTAACTTACAAAGTGAGGATTCGGTATTGCCAGTTGCTTGATGGTATTAAAACTTCCATTCCATTCTATAGAGATAAGAAACTTGTAGATTCTTGAGGCCTACAAATTACTTTCTCCCTTTGACCACGTATATTGTGCCCCTTGTAATGGTATAACAATCAACTGAAGATCTGAGATAGTTTCAGAAAAGCTTCTCATAGCTTTGGTTCTTCTATTGCAATTAAATCTTTCATTCACAAATCTGCATACACTGAAGTCTCCTCCAATAACCCGTTGGTCACTCCATATACCCCTTACTGCCCCCAATTCCAGCCAAAAGTCATCCCTCTCAGCGTTGGTATGTGGGCCATAAACTCCTGTGAAACCTCATCTGAAATTCTCCTGAAGGCTCTCAAGCAGTGTTATCAAAGGCGAAAAGCGCAAAAAAACTCTAAGGTCTGTTGGGGCTTTAAGCACAAAGAGCAAATAAAACGTGGGCTTTAATGAAGAAAGGCACAAATAGAGAAAAACTATAAATATGCATGTGTAGTCTAAGACTAATATCTATAAGCAGGAATACCAAATATATGGACAAAGAAATTGAAGAAAATTTACGATAAAGTGAAATATCAATTGTTTAGTGTCTGTCTCTGGATTACGCTCATTGGCAAGGAAAAGTATGCCTTGAACCTTGATGACAACACCGAAGCGCCCGCTAAGCGAGGCGAAGCGCTCAACATGTTTTGAGCCTCGTTTCAGGGCTTAAGCGTGCTTTAAGCGCGCCTTGAATAACGTTGCTTTAAAGTATACATGTTAATTGAGTAGCAGCCTTGATGTGAGTTCATACACTTCCACAATCTCTTGTCCCAGCAAACGATAATAACCCCCCCTCCCCCTGCCCCAAATCATTACTTGCCTGTAATTTTACCCAATCAACCCACCTATTCCCATATATCTAATAAATTATGCTCGAAGTCATGTTATCCATCTTTGTCTCCTGAAGGCACAAAGCATCTGCTTTCCATTTTTTAACTAATGAGGTAAGGGTACTTCTTTTACTCTTATTGTTAAGACCCTGTATATTCCAACTGAGGATTTTGATCTTCATCTGAATAAATTCTTGCAACTCCTGCCCCTGTCCCTTCCATTCCTCACATCATAATTGATACCACTAATTAGGTTTAGAACTTCTACCTCCTTTCTCTTTCTGCCCTTGCCCTTCTTATTAGCGGTAGAAGGTGACTTATTTTTTTGCAATTGACTCGGCCTTTTTTGATCCATTCTCAGTACTAGGTCGAAAATTCCGTGTTCAAATCCAACTACATTAATCTTGAATGTCTTGCATGCCTTCCCCAATACTAATTTTGTCCATTTGGAAGTCTCTATTGTTGTGGGTGCCTGTGACACTTGCTGAATTTCTTGTAGCTCCAACTGCTCACCATCATGCCAAGAAATGGGGAGAGACTCACTGAAGGAATAAGTGTTTGAGCACACTAAGGCTGTTGAAACAATTTCAGACCAGTATACCTATTGTGAGAGACCCCTGAGGTCTTGGATAAAAGTTCTAGCATCATAATCTGCTTCATCATCGGCATCTGAGTGGGAGGTCATAGCTAATACCTGTTAATTTGAAGCCGCGAAGATGGAGTTCTCATGGGCCTGCTGTAAATTTACTGTAGGGGGAGGCTCAACTTTGTTCGATATGAGACAAGGATTTGGCAAAATTCTAGTGACACACCATTCAATGGATGTTAGTAGGCTTTTCTCTTTGACTTTGTATGGACTTTTTTTCAGTGGGTATTTGAATAATAAGCTTCATTAAGTACCTGGGTCTTTAATAGATTTGGAGCTACTTGCTTCATTGGGCCGGGTTATAAAATTTTCTCTGGCCCGAGATTTAATATTAATGGGAAAAGGGCCCGATAATTTTGAATTAAAGTGCCATGTGTTCAGTTGTCTATCCACGTGCTTCGATTGGACAAGACTCCCAGCAACTTTCCCCAAACTCACTGCTGCTTTAATCCCCAACCCATCTCTTCCGGCATGTCGGACTGATTTGGGTGTCGCAACAATTTCCTTCAGAATTGAGATTTCATACCTCCGGTGCTCCACCTCAAGCTCTATCTTGTCTGGGCATTTTGCATTGCTGCGGTTGACACAGATTCTAGCCCACATATAGCGACTCCGGTGCTTCGTGTCTTCGTCAATGTCTATGAAACCACCCTAAAGATCACCAATTGTTCTGAATGTATCAAGTTTCCAGCCGTTGATTGGGATTCCAAAAGCTTTGATCCATATCTGATCTGATCTTTGGCAAGCAATTTCAGTTCCGGCCACCGCCAACCATCACTACAAAGCAAGGCGGCGACCATTCCAGAACCAATCTCTAGCATGAATTCTCACAACTTCTTTCCATGAGGGATGTTCGAACAGAAATTTATTGTGGGACATTGGAGTCACTTTCATACCAGCACAAATCTTCCATCTATTCAAAAATCATTTTTGGATCACTTCATGATTTGGACTGTAATTGAAGGGGTCGTTGAAAGTTCCCACCAAGCATCTGGATAGAAACGGGTAACCTTCATCCACAACTGTTGCCACATTGTCCACCTCCCTAGCTGGATCCTTTGTCATTTCCGGCCACTGATCTATCTTTGTTGTGTCAACATATGACTTCGACTGGTGTGTATTAACATGCCTGAATCTGGTTGTAGATTGCTTCACTAGAAAATGCAGAACTTTATCGGCTATGTCTTCTCAACCCCAGTTGAAACCAACTTCCGGAATGATCACAGCTCTCTTCTTGTCTCCCAACCATGTTTCAATACGAAAGAAACGACCATAGGAGTTGAAGTTAACAAAAAATTTGTAATAGTATGCTTGTGATTTCGACCCCCATCATTTGTAATAAATCCTTGTTCTTTTAGAAGCTTGCTTGAGTGCAATGCATACTAGTAGGAGATTTCCCTCATCTATTTTAATTGAACACTCAAATCTCCTACCCCTCTCAATCAAAACAAACCACCCGTCACCGGAATCAATAAGTACAAGCGATTTTTCACCTGAAATAAAAAAGATCTAGTCCTCCGTGATGAATAAAAATATTAATACAGAATTATAGGAAGGAAAAAATGTCGTCGGAACATGTTTTGAAGAGAGAGAAAATGACTGGCACACGTCCCGCGTCAGAGAGATTTTTAACGCCTGAACCATGATATTCTTATTTTTCATGTTGTTATTGTTTGGTGATACTCCTTTTTCTTGTTCTGTTTTCTCTTCCTTTTTCTTTTTTCTTCTTCGATTTCTTCTTCTGCTTATTCTTCCTTTTCTCCTTTTTTCATCTTTTCTTGAGCCGAGGGTCTATTGAAAACAACTTCTCTACCTTCATCAAGTAAGGATAAAGTCTGCGTACACTCTACCCTCTCCAGACCCCACTTGTAGAATTATACCGAGTTTGTTATTGTTCATTGAATTGCCTTCTTTTTTTCTTTTTATCACTAAGTTCCTTTACTTCAAAAATCATGGGCAAGTCCAGAAGGATTAGAAGAATTGTACCGAAGAAGACAAATTCCCCAAGAAAAAAAACTATAATGGATCCAAAGATTTGTTCAACTTTTTATTTCTCCGGGTAATCACTTACTACACAGTTTTTAGCTGCACATACAATTTCAAAAGAACAAATATTTTGACAATAAAAAAAAATTAGAAAGCAAAAGTAAGATCAGTGTTAGCTGACCAATCCAAACCCAAACACTAGAAAAGCAACAAGATAATATCTCTTGTCTTTGCTTTTTTCTCTTCATATTTTGTCTCTCCCTTCGTCTTTACTATGTTTTCTCCTTCTTGTCACCTTCAAAGGGAAGAGTTAAGGTTCTACTCTTACCCGCAAAATTTTAATTTCTTATATGCCAAATTTATCCAAAACCATGTGAACTGAAACATAAAATTAAGCTCTGCAGCTTGATAATTGATCTAGATTACATAAGAATACTCCACTAAAAGAAACCATAATAACACAACATGTAACAATGACAATATCTTCCCAACTCCTTAGATTCGGACCAGAACAACATCATGGAGCAACCTAACCAGCTTCTAAGACCCAGAATCTTTTTCTATTCCAAAATACCATAAATCTAGCTTACTCCTTACAGTGATGAATGATGCCAATACTTTATCAAATAAAAAATGAAAAATAATGCCAATAACAGTTCCCCTACTAAACAAGGACTTTCATATTTATCACTATCACGGGGTGGATGAAGAAACCACCTCCATATTCCAAACGCACTCTGGTTTTGCTTCCGCACGCAGATCCAAGAATAGGAACTACTGAGGCGGGTGAGTGGAGTCACTCTCATACCAATTCCAATTGAGAATCTCACATGTAATCTCGCAATTTTCCATACAAAACACAGGAATTGTTATACATAGAGGAATTTGATATCGTCTTGGCTACCAGGCCAACCCAATCATCCCCTCCCCCACCAGTGACAAATGAAGAAACTTAATAAATGTATTAAATAATGCATGAATGCAAAAGATTCTACTCTCCACCCAAGTAACTGCAATCATGTCCTGATGATTTTTATGCAGCTCAAATAATACATCAATATGTTTCTAGTAGTTTAAACACTACATAAGCAACAAGTTAGGATTAAACTCGACTGATAACCTACCGAAGCTAATCGAGTCTCGAGCGAAGGATGTGGCAGTGGAGGTTGAATACCAGCAGCAGAAGCAGCAGACGATGTCGTTGGAGCAGGAGCAGTACCATTAGGAGCATTGGACTGAGAGATAGTAGCGTCCTTGAGAAGCTTCTTCCACGATACAATTGTGGTTTCTCCCGGCCGGAGCTCTACCGTGAACCTCCGCCGGCCGGCCGCAGCCTCATACGACGTCGATGTCCTCCCTACTACCGATTCTCCGCCACTACCGCCGCCCTCCATTGGAGATCGTATTTAATATTGGATGGAAATTAGGGTTCCGACGTATGAGATTTGGGGAGAGGAAGACATGGAAAAGAGAGGGAAACACTGATTCGAAACCCTAAAGACGGAAAAAATACGGTAACGAATTGAAGAGAACTTTTTTGGAATTGGATTTTCTTTTAATCCCTTTTTCAGTTGCTTCTGTTTTGCTCTTTTTTAGTCGTGTCTTTGATTTCACGTGTAACTGCCGTCTGTTTGTCTCTCATTTGACGCTTGGTCAACTCTTTTTTTTCCATCGAAAAAGAAAAAATCTTTTTTCTTTTTCTTTTGTGTTTCTCTTTTTTTTTTAGGAAATCTTTTTCTTTTATGTTCACATAAGGGATAAGTTTTTTATAATAGTCCCTTCAATATATTTTTGAATAATTTTAATTCTTAAATTTTTCCAAAGTATGTACTTTAAGCTTTCTTTAAATATTTAACAAATTATTCTAGTAAATTTAGTGAAAACTGTAAAAATAAAAGATTTAAGCAAATATAACTTCTCTTTTAATAATATTACAAAATATATTTTGCCTGATGGAAAATCTTAAAATGGGTAGAGAGACACTT